ATATTTTTGGATGTTTTCTACATTTTCAAATATATTGATTTCAATTACAACACAGAATACAAAGTGTACAGTGCTCACTTTATATTTATTTTTGATTACAAATATTTGCACTGTAAAAAAACAAAAGAAATATTTTTTTTCAATTCACCTCATACAAGTACTGTAGTGGAATCTCTTTATCATGAAAGTTGAACTTACAAATGTAGAAATATGTACAAAAAATTACTGCATTCAAAAATAAAACAATGTAAAACTTTAGAGCCTACATGTCCACTCAGTCTTACTACAGCCAATAACTCAAACAATTTGCAGGAGATAATGCTGCCGCTTCTTGTTTACAATGTCACCTGAAAGTGAGAACAGGCGTTCGCATGGCACTGTTGTAGCCAGTGTCACAAGATATTTACGTGCCAGATGCGCTAAAGATTCATACGTCCCTTCATGTTTCAACCACCATTCCAGAGGAATGTGTCCATGCTGATGATGGGTTCTGCTCGATAATGATCCAAAGCTGAGCGGACCGACTCATGTTCATTTTCATCATTTGAGTCAGATGCCACCAGCAGAAGGTGGATTTTCTTGTTTGGTGGTTCGGATTCTATAGTTTCTGCATCTGAGTGTTGCTCTTTTAAGACTTCTGAAAGCATTCTCCACACCTCATCCCTCTCAGATTTTGGACGGCACTTCAGATTCTTAAACCTTGGGTCGAGTGCTGTAGCTATTTTTAGAAATCTCACATTGGTACCTTCTTTGCGGATTTTCAAATCTGCAGTGACAGTGTTCTTAAAATGAACATGTGCTGGGTCATCATCCAAGACTGCTATAACATGAAATATATGGCAGAATGCAGGTAAAACAGAGCAGGAGACATACAATTATTCCCCAAGGAGTTCATCACAAACTTAATTAACACATTATTTTTTTAACGAGCATCATCAGCATGGAAGCATGTATTCTGGAATGGTGGCCGAAGCATAAAGGGGCAGTTATGTAACAAAAAAAAAATCTACATTTGTAAGTTACACTTTCATGATAAAGAGATTGCACGGAAGTACTTGTATAAGGTGAATTGAAAAATACTGTTTCTTTATCATTTTTACGGTGCAAATATTTGTAATAAAAATAATATAAAGTGAGCACTGTACACTTTGTATTCTGTGTTGTAATAGAAATCAATATATTTGAAAATGTAGAAAAACATCCAAAATATTTAATACATTTCAATTGGTGTTCTATTGTTTAACAGTGCGATTAATTTTTTTTTTTTTAGTTAATTGCATCAGTTAACTGTGATTAATCGACAGCCCTAGAAGGAACCATTTTCCATGGGAGAATGCAGTTCAATTTGTACTGCTTGGAAAATTTGTAGTGTTTAAACAGAAGTTTCATTTTCAGAGAAATGATGAGGGGAGGAACCAAACACTTTTAGAATGAAATGTTTTGATTTTTGTTTTGAAATTACTTCATTTATTTTTTTATTTAATATTATAAAGTTGAATTTGGATCACTTTTTACTGATCCAATTTTTTGGGGGGGGGGAGGGCATTTTCCTTCACAGACAACGTTGACATTTTTTGGTGTTTGTTCCAAGTCGGAATGAAGCCAACTTTCAAAATCTCAGTCCTTTATGAAACAGAATTTCCATCCACAGCACAGCTCTAACGTTAGCATTTTGGAACTGTTTTTCAGTGATGATCTGTAACTTGCAGGCTCAATTTTGCACAAACAGTGTTAGCCCAAATTAGATTGCATATGCAATAAGTCTGTTTTAAGCTTCTATTTGTTTGTACTTGCAACTTAAATAGCTAATATCTAAACCAGGGGTGGGCAAACTTTTTGGCCTGAGGGCCGCATCGGGTTCCAAAACTGTATGGAGGGCCGGGTAGGGAAGGCTGTGCCTCCCCAAACAGCCTGGCCCCCGTCCCCTATCTGCCCCCTCCCATTTCCTGCCCCCTGACTGCCCCCCTCAGAACCTCTGATCCATCCAACCCCCCCCGCTCCTTGTCCCCTGACTTCCCCCCCCCCCCCGTGACCCTCTGCCCCTAAGCACCCCCCAGGATCCCAACCTCCCCTGCTCCCTGTCCCCTGAGTGCCCTGACCCCTATCCACACCCCCGCCCCCTGACAGACCCCTTGGGACTCCCACGCCTATCCAACCACCCCTGTCCCCTGACTGCCCCCCGGGACCACCTGCCCCTTATCCAACACCCCTCCCCCCCAGCCCGTTACCATGCCACTCAGAGCACCAGGACTGGCAGCCGTAAGTAGTACACCATAAGTAGCACATTCCTACAGGGAGCAATTGAATACACTGCAGCCACTCTGCCCAGCAGGAGCTTGCAGCGCTGCCGCCCAGAGCGCTGGTGGCACTGCGAGCTGAGCCTGCGGGGGAGGGCCTGGGGGCTAGCCTCTCCGTCTGGGAGCTCAAGGGCCGGGCAGGACGGTCCCATGGGCCGGATGTGGCCCGCAGGCCATAGTTTGTCCACCTCTGATCTAAACCCTACTAGTTGTCTGCATTTTATTGTGGGCACAGAACTGAAGGCCCAACATATTTGTGTATGAAAAGCTGTGCCTGCAAAAACTGAGGCCCAGCTGTAAATCAGGCCCTGAATAATAACATGGCATGTTAATGTTACATTGATGGTCTTTGCACGTCATATTATTACATAAACAGGCATAGGTATGTTGAGGGAAACACAGGGTTATGTCTTGACATTAGAGGACAGATACTTAAAGGAGGGCAAAACCTGCATGTGAATACTCAAATGGGCATTTAAGACTTCAAAGTAGGGAACTGGGTTTGCAAATGATTTGCCCTTCCCTGATTTTCATGTATATGTATATTGTGTTTTGCTGCTCTATTGGGGTTACAGATATTTCTGCAGGGCTACCTACCATGTCCTCTATTTTGGACATTTAAGCCAAACCTAACTTCTTGTGCTTAAACCTTTGAATTTCAAGCAACCTATCATACTTCTTCTGTCAATGAAGTAGAGCTAAGAATGGCAAAAATGGGAAAGATGGGCTTACCTGTCCATCTAGGGAACAAGTCGCCTGTGTGTGCAGTTTTGAAAGCTAATATGTGCTTTGATTCCTGGCTAGAACTGGTAAACATGAAGGGAACACATCACTTTACGCCCTTTTTCTAAATCTCTACAAATTATTCTGTTTTCTAGAAATATCACTGTCCCCTTTGGACATGTTTGTGAGCACAATTAGCAGAAGCACTTGAAGTCGACTTTTATTGTTAAAGCATCTAGCAGTGACTAAGTGTCATTTTTTCAAAATGGGTAAATATAATCATGACAAATTCATGAAATAAAGAGAAAAAGACATTGCTTCAGTCCTCAAAGGACTTATGTGAATATGTAAATTATATGTTATTAGCTAAATTAAATTGTTCTGCAACATTAAACAAGCCTACACTAGAACATTGAGGCAAATTATATGTAAGCATGACCGAACAACTTTCAGTAAAACCTGGTGACCAGAATTATGCATTTCCAGAAACATTTATTAAAACAGCTTAAAACTTGATTGGAGATCTTACCTCAATCTTTTTAGTAAGAGGCAGTTCCTGTGTCTGGTAAATCAGATATATGTGCTCACCCAAAATGTGTTTGGGTTTGGTTTTTGTTTTCTTTTAATTTGCTTTCTGTAAACTTATGATGTAAATCTGGATGATAATGATGATCCTTAGCATTATGTAGTGCTTTAGATGTGAGATTTCGAAGTCCAGTGGGAGCTTTATCATATCTACTGCAAAGAGGGGTCATGAAGAATATTTACTGAAGTTTTCAAAAGTGCCTAGTGATTTGGGGGGCCTTAATTTTTGGGTGCCCAAGTTCAGATATTTTAAAGGGCCCTGATTTTTCAGAGGGTGGGTTCTCGGCACTTGCAGAAAATCTGGTTCCTTTAAGGTGTTGTGATGGGCATCCCAATATTGAGGAATCCAAAAACCCTAGACATTTTTAGCCTTTGTAGTTAATCTTTGTGGCACCTCTGAGGTAGATATGGTAAGCATTATCCCCATCTTCCAGAAGGGGGAACTGAGGGCTTGTCCACACTGTGATGTTGTCAACAAAACTTTTTTGTCTTTCATGCGTACTTAAAAAAGCTCCCCCGCGAAAGATACAAGTTTTGCTGACGCAAGTGGCAATGTGAATGCGGCTTTGTCGTCAGGAGTGTTCTCCTGCCGACAAAGCTAATGCCGCTCGTGGGGCTGGAAGTATTTTGTCAGCAAAAGTGCCAACAAAATACCAACAGAGCGTTTACACATGCTGACGTTTAGCGACAACACTGTCTCGACACAGCCTTGTCGCTAAAAGCTGTGTAGTATAGACAAGCCCTAAGGCTGAGAGGTGAAGCAACTTGCCCAAGGCTACACAGTGAGTCAGTGGCAGGGCTTGGATTAGAAATAAGGAACTCTTGTCTCCAAACACTGAGCTCATTCCACTACATATGATGTGTCTCTCATCTATCTGATATATAAGCACAATAATAAAAAGCTTAGACTGGTCTTTGTTTGCAGGTAATGACTGTTCTATTCATTTATTGGCCCATACTTTCAGCTAGCCTCAAAGTAGCATCTAAATATTCACAACCAATATCATCACAAAATTGGGCTCGCAAATGAGACTTCCCTATTCATATAAGATGCCTCTTCATATGCAGAGATGAAACCTGTGAACTTGTAGCAAAGCTAAGACATGGCTATATATTTGATCAACTCTAACTTGCATTATGCGTATTTCAAACAGTCTGAAATGAGAAATTCAAAGAGAAACCTAAGGCATATGAAAGTGAATCGAAACAGAAGAGAAGGTTTGCATGACCCCCTGAAAACACAAGCCACTGAGCTTCATATGCTTCACTCTAATGTCGCTTTATAGGCATGTGTCAGTGGCAAGTTGGCATGCCTAGATTATGAACACTGTTGATAGAAAACATTAAATAATGTAATGATGAATTCTAATAGCCTGCTCTGCTTTATTCTTTTAGGGAATCAGTAGCCTGTTCAGTTCACTGAAAGTAGTCCGACTTCTTCGGCTGGGGCGTGTGGCTCGGAAGTTGGATCATTACATTGAGTATGGAGCAGCTGTCTTGGTTCTGCTGGTGTGTGTGTTTGGTCTTGCAGCTCACTGGTTGGCTTGCATTTGGTACAGCATAGGAGATTATGAAGTTATCAATGAGGATACAAACACAATCCGAACTGAAAGTTGGCTCTACCAGCTGGGGGAGTCCATAGGAACGCCTTATCGGTTTAACACGACAGGTTCGGGGAAATGGGAAGGGGGGCCAAGCAAGGATTCTGTTTATATCTCCTCGTTGTACTTCACAATGACTAGCCTCACCAGTGTTGGATTTGGAAACATTGCCCCCACTACAGATGGAGAGAAGATCTTTGCGGTTGCTATGATGATGATTGGCTGTAAGTACCAGAGATTTCATTTTTTTCATACAAAACGGCCTACAAAGTCTTCCTGTGCATGTTAACCTTTATAAAAATTTCCTACACAGTATCTTAAGGGTTTCTAACCAATTTTTAAAACTCAGTTTTGTGACAAAATTTAAACATCATTACATAAAACATTATGATTTTTCTGGTATGGTATTTTAAAGTCAAGGGTGAGAAATCTTGCATTAATGTTGCATAATATTAGAATAACTTTTTCTGTAACAAAATATAGTTAAATTTCTGCTTACATTTAAACAATTAGAACATGCAAGTTCTGGGTAATTAAAGACCATATATATGCAATCAAATGAATGAAATGTATTAATATTTGTTTGATTTGAGGATTCTTAGAAACTAAGTCCCTAATCCTGCAAACATTTCTCTGTCTGAACAACTGTATGCTGTGAAGAGTCGCACTGAAGTCAATGGGACTATTCATGTATGTAACGTTACTTGTGTGTATAAGTGTTTGCATGATTGGGAACTAAGTGCGTAATTCAAAAAATCTCATCTTTCAATTCACTACTCTCTGGATTTTACAGTATCTAAATTTACTTGTACAGCTCTTATATTCAGAGATGGAAATGCTTCCCTTACTATATTACACAAATTAAGAGTCAAACTGCCAGAATAGAACCTAGAATAGTTTATTATAGAGGGCGCTGGTAGCGACACACATGTTCAGGTTTCCTAACCGTTTCCCATAAGAATCTTGCAATTTTTTTTTTTAGAAGCTCTAACATCTATAGTATTTGCAGTAGGGCTTTGAAATTCAACAGAGCGAGATCTTGGGGCCAGATAAGTGCCTTTTCTTTGTTACGTAAAATTCCATTCAGCTTTAATTGAGTTATAAACTGTTGAAAATTGCCTGTCTGTTGCTAACATGTCAGACCGGTATCTTGAATACTAACATTCTAAATGGAGACAGCAGTGCTGCCGCCAAAACAATAGCAGTCCAAACCGCACACCAAACCCTGGCAGCAGACAGTCTCTCTGTGATGGTGAGAGAGAGCTGGGTTGAAATCCCCTTACAACCTACCTTGGACTCATCAAGTGGCTGCAATGGCTCTTCTCCCTACCCTCGGGGAGCATCACACTGGGCAGGAGTGCCTGGGCAGAGGAGAGAGACAGTAGGGGCTGGCTCCTTCCAGACCCAGTACATGGTGCAGTAGCCTATTCCACACTCCTATAAAAGCCTCCTTCTACTTTTAGCTAATCAGCCTGGTAGTGAAAGTCTGTATTGAAACTTCAGGGTTCAAACCCTGATGATGATTGATGGGGGGGGAGGGGAAGGAGAAGGGAATGGGTTTGTAACAACTGACACAATAGAATTTTCCTTTAGTAAAAACAAACCATAGGAAATTACCTAACATGCTCTTAATGTTTTGTGTGTTTTGTTTTTAAGTTGCAAAGTCAAGCACCCAAGTTGCCTGTGCAACCTTAATTCAACCCCCTTGTGCATCACAATATAGTTTTTAATTGCATGATTAATCCCTGTTTTGCTGCAGAGGACTCCTACCTTATTCAAGATGGACCTGCTTTTGGGGTGAAGCAGGGCTGTGTAGTGAACGACGCTGTTTGTCGGTCCCCTGCCTCGTTTGTTTCAGAAGTAGGAAGCTGTGAAGTAAATGAAGGAAAAAGATGATCTCATGGCTAAGGCAGTCGAACACCGCACAGGAGAATTCAGTTCTATCCCTGCCTGTGTCGCAGAGCTCCTATGTGATGCTAAGCAATTCACTTAAGCCAAAATGTTGTCAAGTGAACACTAATTTATTCCTTATTTTATGGGCACCCAGATTGAGATGCCTGAGGTCTGATTTGCAGAACTGCACATCACTCATACCTACAACTCTGGTCAATGGGAGCTGTGGAAGCTCAGCACCTCCAGAAGTGTGATCTGGAGGAATAAGCACAGAGTTAGGAGTCAAGAGGTCACGAATTCTAATCCTGATTCTGCCACTGATTCACCAAAGTCTTGCTTGTCTCAGTTTTTCCATCTGTAAAATAAAGAGACTAGTATGTGGAGATGAATATTTGAGTCACTTGGTTATAACAATAATGGGTACCTTAGAAATGACAATGAGGAAATAAATAATTCCATATTCAGTGCAAGGTTTAGATAGTGAGCTCCGGTCTTATTTACTGCTATGCACTGAATGATGATAAAAAGAAATATTGAACACTTACATTCCTTAATCACTGTCCATCTTGAATACAGAATGAGGCAGGTCTCCTGTGGGGAAAAAAATACTAGGTGATCATGTAATTAGACTGTATCCTTGTATGTATATGTGTGTGTGTGTGTGTGTGTGTGTGTGTGTACGCATGCAAGGGGGCACAATTAAGGATGCACAGGCAACCTTAATTCTGGCCTTTCCTAACGTTTAAGTGCTTAACATTGCAACCTAAGTATTCTTTGGTTATTGTGGTTATTTATAGAGTGCCAAAAGTGTACAAGCCACTCTGTATAGATCATGTGATCAGGGCCGGTTCCAGGGTTTTGGCCGCCCCAAGCAGCCAAAACAAAACAAACAAACAAACAAAAAAGCCACGATCGCGATCACGATCTGCGGCGGCAATTCGGCAGGAGGTCCTTCGCTCCCAGGCGGAGTGAGGGACGTCCGCTGAATTGCCGCCGAATACCTGGATATGCCGCCCCTCTCCGGAGCGGCCGCCCCAAGCACCTGCTTGAGAAGCTGGTGCCCGGAGCCGGCCCTGATGTGATGTGCTTTAGATGAAAACAGTGATGGGCCAAATTCTTGGCTGGTGAAAATCAACACAACTCTATTGATGTCGATGGAACTACACCAGCTAAGGAGCTGGCCCCATATGTTTAGAAATGCCCAACTAAATCCTACTTTAAATTAAAAAGTCTGACTTACCCTTTTATACCAGATTGTGAACCTTTGCTCCCGGTTGGTAAACATTGACTCTGATGGGACTGCTTGATTGAGTAAATGGGACAACTCATGGGAGTTAATGATAGCTGAAGGGTTCACAATCGAGTTTTTTATGTGTTATCTGTATTGCATTTATTGTATTACATTTCTACTGACTTTCTAGTTACACAATGCTCAATAACATGAGATGTGAACAAAAAATTGGAGCAAAGCTTGAACCAATCACACTATCTACTGCTGGAGAACAAGTCTGACACAGATTGGAAAGAATATGTCTAGGTCACCTGAAATCAGTATGACAGATCAAGCAAATGGAAACCTGGTGCTCTCTCTTAATAAGAGACTATATGATAAATGACTTCAAACATTTTCTAAATCTTTGGAAAAATGGCCAAAACAAATACTTCAATAGGCTTCATTTGTAAATTGATTTGAATCAAAGTGCGTGACTTGCAGAGATAAAAGAGAATTAGGTGATAATGTAAAAGACCTCAAGAAATAAATTATGGAAAGAATTATCTTGACTTTTGAGACATTTTGATTACAGTGGAGACCAAGAAGACAGAGTGAAAAGCTAGTGGATATTCTGTGGACAAGGGAAGGAAGAAATATTTTCTGGACAAATGGCCTTTGGGACAGATCCTGCAGGCTGCAGTGCATCCCCTGAGAGGCAGTGAGCACCCTCAGCTCCCATGACTTTAAAAGGAGTTAAGGGTGTGCTCAGCGTGTTACTGGATCATGTGTTAATGCAAAGGACAATCCCTTAAATTCAGAATAAGCAAATATGCCTAATACTGTCTTATTTTTCCTTCCCATGACTACGGGGAAAAACATGTATACTCTGACTTCTCAGAATAATGTTCCGATGGCTAAATGTTCTCTAAATGCTTCCGGAATCATCCTCAAAAGTCTAATAATCCAAGGCCTGCTAGTTTCTTCTGGTGAAGGACTCCTTGCTTATCCTAAAACTCCAGTTGAAGTCAGTGTGAGTTGAGGAGGTGCAAGGAATGCAGATCAGGCCAGAATTTGCTCCTCCTGTGATGTTCTTCCCACTCCTCTTCCAAATGACAAATCTTTCAGAGCTGCATGAATCAGTCTTCTTGTTCTTGGCATGGAGGGACACCTTATGGCTAGCCTCTGATGGATTTTATGATATTGAATGGTAATTCTTACCATACAAATGTTATTGCACTGGGATAGATATGCTGTATTTTTTTTCCTCCTTCAGTTTTACAATTTGCATGTGCTAGTGTTTTCTTTGGGTACTGCTGACGGGGTCTAGCTAGGGCATTGTGCTGTGATCTCAGGTGACATTGGCATAAAATGTTGCACAGCAATTATACAAGTTGGGCCTGGTGTTCTTTTGTTATGTAATGTCTGCTAAGGAGACCAGTAACAATCCACTGCATCTCATATCTTGACACCAATTAAGAGGATGTCTGAAATTAGAATCAGGAGATTGTCTTCTACTCTGCTTTTTATTTTCAATTCCCTATTATGTGCTGTGTGCATCTTGGTTTATATGTATTAAATAGATAACTCAGCACTTCTGCATAGGTATTGCAAGGCCATGCTGATTGGGGTTTATTATTCTGTAGACATGGCCTCCTGTGGTATTTTTCATATGTAAAGTGTTCCATGTTGTGATGCGTGAGTGGGTTCATAAAGCAAAGTCAAAGAGTCCATCTAGTCTAAGTGTCTCACATTTTCTCTAAATGCTTTAGAAAACATCCTCAGAAGTCTAATAATCCAAGGCAAGCTAGTTACTGATGGTGAAGAAAACAAAAGGTCCAATACTGTATTCTTTGCTTTCACCCAAACTCCTCACACCATGACTTAACAGAGGTTTGTCTTGCAGATGTCGCCCCTCTGACTGCCAACGGAATAATGTCCCTGTGGCAACTATGATCTTTATTCCCATTGTTAGTAGGAAAGCTTGTATTTAGCTGTGTCTTTATACACTGAACAGGTGGGAACAGAGAAGAAGAGCCAGTCCCATATGATCAGGCAGGTCTCCACTGACCACCACTAAGCCGAAGATGGTTGGTGGCAGAATTCGGCAGCGTATTGGGC